TATATGTGCTCTCCTCCTCTTNTATTATTTACTGTCCTCTCTCTCTCTAATAATCTATTTCTCGTCAATCTTTTCTTAGATAAAAACTTTTGGGGCCTCAAACCTACCAAAGTGTCCAAATAAATAAAGCAAATCCGATTTTTCAGTGGTTCAAGTGCCCTTTTCCATCATTAATTGAATGGTCGTAATATTTGGGAAAGCGTGGGTGTAGTTGGGATACGACACATCCGTAGCTGTAGAGGTAAGGTGTGCCTTCAAATTTTATCATGGTATATAATTTTGATGTAAAATGCTTTTAAGATTATTTTAAAATATATTTTTATATCTCATTATAAAATTTAAAATTTCAAAAATAGTTAAAATCAAGTAGATCTATAAACATATGAAAATCTTGAAAATGGACGGTGTAGATAATATGTTGTAAAATACACTATTTCTGAGACTTAAAATCTTTTTATTTTTCATGATTATACATCTCGATGTCGAGATGATCAATCAAAAGGTTTTTCAACATTATTCCTTTAAAAAAATGTTTTTTTTTTATTTTTCAGTATATTTTATAGTAAGAAGTTATTATTTAAGGGTTTGAAACCCTTTCCCAAATTAGGACATCTCAATAATTTAATCCTCAAGAGGCATTATTCAATATTACAAAAAGAAGCATACTTTTAAGGTTAGCAATGAGGAATAAATAAAGGTATTTCTATCATTTGGCACCAAAATGGCTTGCATGTATAAAATGACGTACATACCTCTAATTGTTCCTCATCCTTATTAGGAACCCAACATTGTGCTCTTTATTACAACGCTAAATAAGCAAAGGTATTTTTATTATGGAAAAATATCTTCATACTTTCTATTTTTAGGTTTCGTTTCACAATAGATCCAAAATTTTAACAGATATCTTGAGGCATAAAAATTGTAGATTTTATTTCTTCTAACCCCCTTTAGCTAATTTAAACCTGTTTTTTAGACCAAACAAATCTAAAAAGACATATTTTTTCTAAAAGTTTTCATCCCAAACTTCTACAAAGAGAAGGGCTTCATGGAAGTGAGAGGTTATCAGAAAAAGAGAGAGGTATTTAGAGAAACACATGAAGAGAGAGATGCAAGAAGAGAGAGAAAAATAGAAGTTAGGGTATATAAGTGAAGAGAGAGAAAGAATTGGGTTTAAAAATAACACGTTTTTCTCACATTTGTTTAGTATAAAAAATATGATTACAATGGCCAAAGGGTTAGAAGAAACCTTTTTAAACCTTGGACTTATCAATCAATGAAACCTAAAAATATAAGATATTGAGATGTTTTCCCTTTTATTATTTATTCCGGGCCTCTTAAAGGTCAAATTACTCATACTTTATATGTGTATAGTTTTTTATATTAATACCTTGTTTTATTGGTGGAAAAGTAGGTTACCAAATCTGCCTATTCTAATAACCGCAAGAACCACACGTTAAAGTTCTTCCCCAAATAAGTGTTTCTTATTGTTATTGTGGAAAGCATTTTTCCAAAATAATGCAGCACTTCCTCTTTAAGAAACATGATAAGCATTTATATCTGAAGCTGCTGTTTCCGGAAGCTCCAATGTCTAATAATTAGACAGGCCCTTACTTTAATTGCTTTGCAAAAACACATGGGGAGAGTGCTTTTAGATGGACCCAGTGTAGTAAACTCGGAATTGGGTCCCGGATTACGCTTCTAGTGAGCCGCTCCAAATAAGTTATTTTGATCCATTGCGGATAATTCTCTGCGTCAATAAGTATTAAAATATTAAAAATAAATAAATTAAGTGAGAATGGCCCTATTCCATGACCTATATCACATGTTCTTCTAATTGACGTATTGCCCATTCTTAATAAAATCATATGAATCCCTAAATCAGACCAATTCTCCATTCCAACAAACAATAGAGACAAGCCAATTCCCCATTCCAACAATGAATCGAGCCAGTCTCCCTAGCGATGTTGATTCGAATGGATGATTCTTGATATAGGTATACAATATTTCAAGGAAAATTTTAAAAAATATCTATGAAACATGCATTATTTAGCATTTTAAACATTTGTCACTGTTTTAACTCATGATTATGTGTCTTTTGATGAGTATTTTACATCAAAGTACAAAGGCAAACCATTAAATACTTAATCTCTCGTAGGTATTTTAACAAATTTCCCAAATTTTAAGTAAGAGGTAGAACAGGCCATCCTATATTTACTACTTTACTACGATGGTCATATGTTAGTATGTCAGCACAAAAACTCAAACTCGCACCTCTAGACAACCAACTTAACTTTGATGATCATACGTTAGCATAGGATGGTGCTCCTCTAGACAACCGAAGGAGTATTAGATCATGGTCATTAACCCTAGACACAAAGGAGAGTGCGTTCCCACCAGATTATAGGGCTGGCAAAAGGCCGGGCCAGCCCTAACCCTAGCCTGACCCTGTTTCCCCAATGGCCGGCCTAAGCACGGCTTGGCCCGGACCAAGCCAAGTAAAATTAAAGATAAAACGATAAAGAAATAAGGGCTGAACCCTCAGGCTACATTCGGTGGCCCAGTCCTAGTTTCTAAGGGCCGGGAAGTAGAGCCCAAAGCGCATCACGGATATATATTTTCATGTTGAAGCATTTAATATTTTCCTCCCATGTGACAGAACCGAAAGCCTTCGAACACAGCAAACGTGTCCCATTGCGATTCAGTACCTAATTGAAACTACTTCCCGCAAGTTTCTATGTATTCACTTATTCATGTAGACAAGTTGCGGTTGAATCAGCCAATTTTGAAGCCTTTTGCGATTCAGTACCTAATTGAAACTACTTCCCACAAGTTTCTATATATTCACTTATTCATGTAGACTTAGTAGGCATGTTGCGGTTGAATCAGCCGATTTTGAAGCCTTTTGCGATTCAGTACCTAATTGAAACTACTTCCCACAAGTTTCTATGTATTCACTTATTCATGTAGACTTAGTAGGCATGTTGCGGTTGAATCAGCCGATTTTGAAGCCTTTTTCACGCACAATTCTTTGCTTCTTAATAAATCAAAAGGGAATCAACAGCTATGGTAGCAGAAGTGAAATGCAAGGAACCTCCTAATCATCTCTTGATATATGCGAATGCTAGTCAATTCTATAGCCTCCATTTAAGTTGGTATAGGCATCTCAATTCAATTTTTCCCCTCCAAATAATCAAATCAACCAAAACAATGTTTCCGAAGTTCCCTCTGTATAAGCGATCCATAGAAATGAGTTGCAGTCTCTCTCAAACACAGATTTGTCAATTGTTTTTTATTTAGTGTCAATTCTAGCATCTTAAAAGAGAGCCATTATCTCATCGGACGATCCCCAACGATGCCACTTGTCACCAGATTGGCATTACAGTATTCATCTCCTTAATACACTAATAGATATGCATTATGTCCCTGTCCAAACTATACTGCAAAATTTATTCTTAAAATTCCAATAACTTTAAGGGGGGGAAACAACAAAAGAGTCATTGTTTGCTCAAATTAATGTAACCATCATAGAAAATTTATTCTTATAAACTACATACATGAATCAATGTTGAAAACAAAACATTGATGTTGCTCCCTTCAAAGTTCAAACTAAGGCTTCAGGCCAAGCGCATGGGCCACATGCTACACGCAAGTATTCAGATCATGAAAAATTACAGACAGGTAAAACAAATAAAGAAACATCAAAGAAAAAAGATAGCTTCAAGCAAGCAAGAAAAGTGCATCCCAAAGTACCAACAGAAAAATGAAGAGAGAAAAAAGGAAGAACATAAAAAGTTTAGGGCCACTCCAGTTTCCGATGCTTTTCATAGCTCATGCCTCTTCGGCTTTGTCACTTTTCTCAACTCCTTCGAATTCTCAAAACACAAATCAAAGCCATAGTGAGGGAACCTCTCATACCAAGTGTCTTGCTGAACATGAGTATCCCAGTGCTCACCACTACTGCTCTTCCCATACTTGTGAACCCAGCCCGAGCCATTGTGTTGCTCACCCCATGTTCGGTTCCAACGTTCACCACCAAGCCCCTCCCACCAAGTCTCGCCTTGCTTAACACCATGGCCATTGGGATCAAAAGACTCGTCCCATTTGTCACCCCACTTTGTCCAACCCCCAAAGTCTGAGCGCTCTGCCCATTTGTCAGTATATTTCATGCTGCCACCCTTCCCATCGTATTCTTCGCCCCACCTGTGTCATTGTTGGCATTCAGAGAGAGAGAGAGAGTCTAAGGGAAGTACAATAGAAGTCCAATGGACTACAGAAAACTATCATCCACTGGTGATCCCTACCATACAGTAAAATGATAAATGGTGAAAGGAAGGATAGTGGAACCCACAGGAACAGGGCACAACTTGCAAGGTGGGTTCCACTAGCTATCCATCACCATGTTCACTGGCTGGTTTTCCATAATTCATTAAAGTATACTGCTTCCTTTTTTTGCTTAATCTGTATGGTCACTTTCTTTCAAAAATTGCTTATTTTTCCCTCTCTATGACCATGGCAATTGCAGGTCTAAAATCAGAAAAGCATGTCCAACAGATGGATCTCAGAACCATGATTCTTCTCTGGAGATTGGAACCATGATTCTTCTCTAAGCAAATGGAAAGAAGGTGCCCTAAATTGTTGTCAAAATTGAATAGAAATAGGAACTCAAAAATGAACTTGCCAAGTCCCAAACAAGGCAGCCTTGACTAATTAGGAACCCCTTAATTGTGTGTAAATGAGGTGATTTATTCAGTGATGCAACGCGGATTTAGTAATGAGATGCCAGTTTAGGTAGTAAATCAGTCAATACTGGTAACCATAGTTGCATGACAATTTCTCTACTATTAATCTGGAGTTCAAAAAATACAGAGCTTTTTTATTTCAAATAAATCAGGACATTTTCTGGCAGCCCTGATAAAAGGTCATTTAAAATTTGCAAACATGCTAGAATATAAGGACATTACAAGGGACTCTGGAAGGTAAATTTTACAATCTCTGGGTAATCTTTAAAAAAAAGTTTGAACCAGCATTATGTTGAAATTGTCAAAAATAGATTTCAGGAAGCTTTGAGGAATGGAAACCTAAAAACAGGAAAACAACAAAAAAAGGCTTTGGCCAGCTATTAATCTCAGAAGGTATTATTTAATTTGTATATCCATTCTCACGATAAGTTTCAAAGAAAAGCAGTAGGCATGGTCTTCTTTATTTCTGGGTAAGAAAATACAACAGGAATCCCTGGAAACAGAGTCTCCAAGTTAGCTCTCTGAACTCATCAAATTGTTCTCAAATTATTTACCAATATCAGCCAAAATAGTGTGAATTATCAGAAAATAGATTCCCAAAAAAATCCTGACTTCTAGAAATTTATCTGTATGTTAGTCACTCTTTACAACGAACTGTCTAGTTTCTGAAGAACTTGGGATAAGCATGTTGAGGGCTTCCGTACCAATCAAGTGCACATTTGGATCAATGTCACTTAAGTAAGTTTAGAATGTGTCAATCAATTAAGGGAAAATACAGAAAGGTAAAGTTTAAGGATGATTCAATCTTGGCTTTTCAGAGCATAAGAAGCACAAAGGCGGACTCAAGAATCTCAGGCATGTTCTTGTAAATTAAATTTAACGCTTATAGGGTGAAAGGAAAATGTACCTCTCGTGCCAAACATGAGCATGACCAGGTTCTAGAGGTGTTGTTGGATCGATGTGGCACCACTTTTGGGCCCACTTATCAGCCTTTCCTGATGCATCATAGTGCTCCCACCATTTCTCATGCCACTCTTCACCCTTCCCATTCTTTCCCCACTTGTCTGCAGTTTTCTCCATATTCACCAGGCCACTACTTAGGTCCTGCAACAACCCAAACAGATTGAGAACACAAAACAAGTGACACAAATTTAACTTGTACCAACAACACCAAACCTTGAGACACCCAGAGGAGTATATTTTAGTTATCTGATAAAATCGCAAGAAGTGAATGGGTATAGATGTTACTCATGAAAAAAGTATATATTGAATGCCCCTTGCAGATACAAAGCAACCAAAACCCAAATGAACAAGGAAGGGAGAACATCATAGTTATCATTGGATTTGTAATCAAAGTTAATCAGTTGAACTAGAGCAACTCTATTTCCATACAAAAAAAAAAGAGTAATAAATCCTTCATAAACAATAAATTGCAATGGATACCTGCCACATCGACTCCCTCCAGAACTCACGCCAAGCACTTCCAGCAGCATCTCGACCTGATTTCTCAGACCCAAGTTCTTTATAGTCAAACTCATCAGAGGCCTCCCAGTACTTCTCTTCCCATTCCACATCATTATTTGCACTCACTCCTCTTGTAAGTGTCCACCTACAAACTACCCCATCAGGTCTTTGCTCTGTGCCTGTTTCTTTCCACCACCTTGACCCATCTGCATTAACTCCAAAAGAGGATGCCTCTCCAACCTTACCCAGAGCCATTGCAGCCTCTTCTGCATGCCTTGAAAATACCACATCAACCGCATTATCAGATTTTAGAGGAGGGGACTCTAAAGAATGTAACCCATCTGCCTTTTCAACCTCCACTAGTGATTGAAGAGGTGAAAGTAGGGGAATTTGATTGCTTCCCTGTAAAGACAAATTACTTTCAAAAGGAATTGGCAACACATCAGTGGATCTTTCCTTCTCTAACAAGGATTTCTGAGAATTTTGATCTAAGCTTGATTGTCTGGCCTTCTGTATCTGCATTCCTTTCTCAGACGGGCCACTATCTGAAGGAGGAGACCATGACCAAAAATCTGGACCAGGAGTTTCCCGTGTTGTGATTTCTGAGAGAGGTAGGTTGCTAATGTTCTTTTGGCCTGCACTCCTAGCAAATGTAGATGGTAAGAATCACACCTAGAACTGGTAAAGCGAACTTGCCGATTAATGACATTGCATAACTGATCATATGGTCATAATGACTCCAATACTATATCACCGTGACATCAATGGAATCAATGGAGATGGATGGGAATGGACCCAACCGACAATATCATCAATTGCATTGCACGGTACGATCCTCCATGCATCACCATCTAACCTAAAGATCGGACAGTGATAAAGCAGGTGGTCTTTGATGTTACTATGACAATATGGACCATGCAGACACACATATACACACACACAAAGGCACACAGACACCTCCAGATACATAAATCATGGTATTGAACCTCTCGACAATGAAGTAGTATAACACCTGGGAAGTTGTAAACTGGACTTTGGATGAAAACACAAGTTATCATTATGGGTAAAAACTAATTCACATTGCACTCATCAGTTCTATGCGTTACTGATACTAGTTGATACTGGCCTAATTATTGGTATGCAAGGTTAAAGAATCCTGTAGGGAAATGAGAAACTACACAAATAATGTTTCTTTTTTTTTTTGGTGAGGCTAAGGTTTTGATGAGTCTGCTGACTTGTCCATTTACATGCTGCAACCAAACCCCCCCAAAATTTAGGGGCTGACAATCTCTACCATGGCGAACATAAATCTGGGAAAAGAAATAAAATCCCAAAATTTACAATCATATTTGTTTTATTTTATTTAATACTATTCATTTCCATTTATGAGAGGGGACCATTTTTTCAAATCCATCTTGAATATGAATGTTTGATGTGTTGGGTGCCGCTATTAAACCGCATTCCCTAACGCATGAAACAGTTTTCCTTTGGATAATTCATGGTTCTTGGAGATGAGTAAATCATAGTATCATGTACAACGTCAAACATATTACATTTGGCTGTTTTGGCGAATACTCATTAAATTTAAGTTACGGTTTCACTTCTTTTTTGCAGTTCCTTCTGGCCTCCTTCTATTCCTCTCAATTTTAATTTTCTTGCCTTCAAGTTCATTTTTCTGCGTGTTATGGGAGATGATTTTGACAGTTTTTAAGATGATTTGAGAACTTGAATAGTTTTTCCCTTCTTTAATTTTTTTAAAAATATTCAAGTTCTCCAATAATCCGTCTTTTATAGATTTTGTTTTATCTTTTCAGTCTCCTGGTGACTGCTATTACTTCGTTCATTTTTTTCTTGTTTTAACAATTTTTAAAGATTACGTTTACCTCTTTTTTTTTTCCTTTTTGACTTCTCTTCCTTTTCTAGGGTTGTACATAACACGGCAGAGTCTACTCGCCTCGGCCAACTGCCAGTACCTCGGACCAGGCGATTTCCAAAACATTGATTTTTGTTAAATACAGTTTGTCATGCATCACAAGGGTAAATGATTGTTCAAAATTCAAGCTTAATAAGATATATAGGCTCCAATGCGTATTTAACAACAGGCTGAATGTATGGTCAATATACTCCCAATGAAAGTTGTGAGGATGATATCTATCCAATAAAACAAACCTGGAATTGGATATAAAGACCCAATATAGGAAATGGGGACTTTGATTAATTGAAAATAAATATATCCATTTATGCATCATCGATAGGTCCAGAATCTCCACATAAAAACAATATCTCAGAGAGAGAGAGAGCCAACTGGGTATCTACAACGTAATACATATATCACAATAGTTGTTCTAATTCTAGCCAATTTCATATCAATATGAAATTATGATTTATGAATCGAAGCAATTGCCAATATGGAACTTAAATGCAATGGTACAAGAGACAATTGCCTATCTGGAACTGAAATGCGCTGATACGAAAGTGAGAGAGAGAGTTTTGACTGCATGGTATTGGGATTTAATTATACAGAGAGTCCTGGGCATTATTCCAACGAATTTCACTTGAAATGACTACGAATGAATACACTAACCGAAAACCAATAGAACTACACTGATAACCACCGTATCCATAGAGAGAGAAGGAAGCTTAAGAGATAGAGAGGGAAGTGAAAGAAAAAATTGGTACCTTCTAGTTTTGTACCAGAGGTTGCAGAAGAGCTATGATCCGAAGGAACCATTGCAGAGAGGGGCTTTAGAGAAGGGGGCTTCTCGGCCATTAGCGCTCGAGCAGCCGCAATCGTGGCCGCTGCTCTAACAATGACCTGAAGCCTCTGAACCTTATCTCTCTCATCAGAAGGAACCTCCATCATTCTCTGAAAGTGCTCGCTCCTCCTCTTAATCTCTGAACTCTCATCCATTTCCACCGCTTCCTTCGTCCATGTCCCGAGATCAGGTCCATTTTGTCCATCGCCATGAACGGCCCTCACTGTTCGAATTATAAAGTGTTTTTTGCCAGGAAAATGCAGGAAAAGAATCTGGCTTTTGGGGTTTCGCTTTTGTTGGGGAAGAGGGATACGAGGGCGGTGGTTGAGACCTGAGAGAGTAGCTGCATCGACAGCCATTGCAGGGAACCAAGAGATAGAGAGAGGAGGGGATTCGCAGAGTATGAGTTTGATGGTCTCTCTCTGGCTTTATATGTTCCTAGATGGCTTTCAAATGAATACGCAATCTGTCTAACGGTTCTCTCTCTTCGTTTATGCTGGTTGCTCTCTTTCCCTCCACAATTTTTATGATTTGTTGTATTCTTTTGGTTTGACGTGTAATTGGAGACCGGAATCAATCCTTCCCACTTTTTCATTGCGAGGATAATTAAAAAGGAAAAAGTTGATTTGAAGTCTAAAAAAAAAATGGATTTCAAGTTTTTGAAAATAGTGTATTCAATCATTAATTTTCAAATTTTTTAAGTTTCTATGTATCTATCGATCTATAGTATTTTTTAAGTTTCAAATTTTATAAATAAAGATGGACAATATATTTTAAGGCTATCACACAGGATTTCCGGTGTTGAAACCACATTCTCGATACTATTTGAAAGTAGGCTCTAATTTGATTGTTTAGAGCCTACTTTCTATACAAACCGCACCCTTTTATCACAAATATTTCCAATATTGAAACCACATTTCTCGACACCATTTGAAGGTATGCTCTAATTTGATTGTTTAGAGCCTAGCCTCTATACAAACCGCACCCATATTAAAATAGTATCGAGAAATGTGGTTTAAACATTGAAAATCTTTGCGATGGTCTTAAAATATATTTTTATTTTTATTTATAAAGCTTAGAGCTTAAAAAATAGTATTGATCGACAGATTTATGAAAACTTGAAAATATTGAAAATTAAAAGTCCAAAAATGCATTACAAAATACACTATTTTCAAAACTTGAATTCCATTTCTTTCTCATGTTCAATATCAAGATGATCAATTTGAAGATATTTGGACATCAAAACAATATCTTCTAATGAAAAAATTGAAGTAAGCTCTAATTTGATTGTTTAGATCTTCGGCTCTATATAAACTTTTCTCATATTTAAATAGGGTGTCGTTTCTATAAAGTTGCAACCTTAACCCTTCCAAATAAAGCTCCTCCAAATTTTAACATAACATGTATTTTTTGTGTAAATAATTCTTAAGATTATCTAAAAACCCATTTTCATATCTAATAATAAAATTTTAAACTCCAAAAATGATTAAAATCAAATAAATCTATAAACATATGAAAATCTTGAAAATGGACCACCTAGATAATGTGTTCCAAGATGCACTATTTGTGGGACTTAAAATTTTGTTTTTTAATATACTCATACATCTCGATGTCAAGATGATCAATTAGAGAGTCTTTCAACATTAAAACAACCTTTTCCGATGTATTTTTGAGGTGCATCAGTAATTCTACATTTTAATGTTGCAACCTTATATAAACTTTTAAATTGCCTATAGAGAGAACGTTTAACTTTGGGCGTGGTTTCTACAAGGTTGCAACCTTAAACAATCCAATTAAGGCGCACCTCCAAATTTTATCATAACATATAATTTTGGAGTAAAAAATTCTTAAGATTATCTAAAAATCTATTTTTCATATCTAATTATTAAATTTTAAACTCCAAAAATAGTTAAAATCAAGTAGATCTATAAACATATAAAAATCTTGAAAATGGCGCTGTAGATAATGTGTTGCAAGATGCACTATTTATGGGACTCAAAATATTTTTTTTTTTTAATATTCTTACATCTCGATGTCGAGATGATTAATTAGAGGCTTTTTCAATATTAATTTTTTTTTTATGGATTTTTCCAGTACATCTTTAATTTTACATTTTATGGTTGCAAACCTTATATAAACTTGGGAAAGGTTTTTGTACTTCCCCTACAGCATAGAAGTCTATGCTTTCCCTACCCTCTAGCTGTCAATTTTGATAAAGAGAGCCACTCACCCTTTGATATTCGATCAAATGTCTCAAAGTATTTTATTTTTAGTTTTTTTTGTATAAATTGTATGAATATGAAATTTGATACGTGCTATATTCTCATTGGGGCGCACTTATAAAAGTTATTAAAAATAAATTTTTGATACAATAAAATGACCAAAATACCCATTGAATCTTTTATGGGTATTTTGATCATTTTATTTTATTGGAAATATATTTTTTATATTGTTTGTTACCACGAGTTTAATAGATGATTGGACATACAAAATTTTCCCTATGTAAGCTTTCTATACTTCCCCTAAAGCATAAAACTTATATACTTCCCTTTATCCTAGATGAGAGGACCAAGATTGCCCCAATCACAATGTCATGTCTCTACACTATTTTATACTATTTTATTTTTTATTTATTTTCTATAAACTATTTTGATACCAAATTTTGGATGTCCAATCCTCTATTAAACTCGCACTAGCGAAAAATAAAAATAAAAATAAAAAATATTTTTATAAAATAACCGAAATACCCTTAAAAAATTCAAACGGTATTTTGGTCATCATATTTTATCGAAATTTTATTTTTAATATTGTTTATAGGTACACCCCAATGAGAAGATGGCACATACCAAATTTTATATTCATACAATTTGTATAAAAAAAACTAAAAATAGAATATTTTGAGACGTCGGATCTAAGATCAAACGGTGAGTGGCTCTCTTGATCAAAATTGAATAGCTGGATGGTAGAGGAAGGATAGTTATTCTATGTTGTAGGGAAAGTACAGGAAGGTTTAACTAAACTTTTTCGTTTAACTTTTACATGATGAACAACCAATTTTTTTCTTTTACACTTTAAAATGGGTGGTTGTCATAGTGTCGTTAATTAGACACAAATTTTTTTTTAAGAAACCTTCGACTTTCTTACTCATCTCAAGATAAAGGGGAGGTGTTTATTAGCCGGCTAAAAGATAAAGACAACACTAATATAGTATGCTTGATTTTAACCTACTTTAGGACGAAAGAAGATTTTAGCCAAATTTACAATAACACCCCAAGAAGACGTTTCTTATGCACCTTACTCCCGCTCAAAGTTTTCGCTTTTTCCCAATTAAATTCTTAGCAAATACCGCCCAGCCAAAAATAAAATAAAAGAAAGACCAAACTACCATTTATTGACTTTTACCGACACCTCTCTCTCCTTTAGGAAAAAGTGTCGCCCGGCAGATCTATGTGGCAGTGCGGCACTATTATTTATGGATAACCATGCGGTCTAGAAAATATACATTGAAGTCCACCACTTTTTTTATGGACAAAAGACGGTCCAGCAGATCCCTATGACGGTCCACACTTTTTTTCAGGACAAACATGCTGGAAGATTTATATGGTCGTCTAGCAAACATGCTGGAAGATTTATATGGTCGTCTAGCACTTTTATACGTGCAGTCCGGAAATTCTATATTTGTGATATAGCACATCTATATGCAGTCCGGCAGATAATGAAGGCAGTCCAAAACTTTTTTTAAGTTGGGTCCCGCAATTGGTACATGGCGATATGGCAGCTCATGTAGCTTTTGGTATTATGTGTAAGCTTTCCTGAATGTCAGTCCAAAATTGAATTTTTATGTACAAAAAAAGGTATTTTCGTTAAAAAAATGTACATTCTTTTTAGTTGAGAGATATTTGTTAGGAAAGTATATTTTGAGGCAAAAAGTGAAAAAAAATTTCAGTTCGGGTAAGTTGCATATGAAGTTTATTTTTAGGATTTTTTGTAATTTTTAAAAAATCAAAGGAAAAAGAAAAAATAAAAAAATTAACAGAGTAAATGTCGCAAACTTTGGGGAGTCCCACACAAAAAAGACAATAAAAAATCAAGAAAAAAAACTCTTTGATCCTTTGACTTGTCCAACTTCATTTCTATAAGAATATGAATAGAAATAAATAAGTATAATGTAAAGAAAATTCAATTAAAGAATAAAACAAAAAATGAGTAGGCAAGATCCCCTATATTTATAGGCACAAATGATATTATAAAAGTACAAAAAAAAAAAAAAAGATTTACATAGAGCCAGAGCCATTTTATATGTTCTTAGAATTTACATATTTTGACAAAATAATAAAAATCCACCATCAAATACCCATTTTATAATATAAGTATGTAATATACTTTAGTTTTTCTTTTGGATCCTACCGATTTGCCAATCTAGATTAGTTGATTCAGGTCACCAATCCTTTTTTTCAAAACATTGATAGGCATTCGTTATGATAAAACAATTATGTACGTCTTGCCCATAATATTCAAAATAAAAAATTTAAAGCAAAATTGCTTTGAAAATATAAGATTGAACATAGGATTGGACTTGGTTACCTAGTCCGATCCAGGTGGGGTTAGGCTGAGCACGACCACCCAGATGGGGCTGAAGAGGCCCTAGCCTTGTCCATGACACGCCCAAAAAATGAAAAGAAAAAAGAAAAACCAAAGGAAAAAAAAGGTTGCCCAAACTTGTGTCGCCCTGACCCAAACCCGGCCCCGAGCCACTTTTCCGACTTAGTCCAAATTGTCTACAAGCACCAAGGCGTCCAAAAAAATAATCGACAAAAAAATAATCGACAAAGCAATAGCATGTCAAAACTATGATTGAGTTGAATATAGAAAGGGAGTAAAGTGCTATCAAGATCAAACCGGTCATTAAGATGGCAAGAGTTGGCCGAACCAATTTTTAAAAGTCAAAACCATGGTTTTTTGTTATTAACTTGGATGAGACCTACCAAAACACTGGTCCCGAGTCCAACCAGTTCGATCCGATGTTGATAATTATAGGATAAATTGATAAGTATGAAAGGAAATAAAAATCCACGTTCAAGTCGTCAGCCGTGATTATTGGATTTAAAAAGTTAGGAAGAGTGCTCTCATCACGCTTTATATTTAGAAAGTTAAATTCATACCAGAAGGAAGTGGTGGACCTGGAGACCAAACTGATCCATGATTGGAAGCCTCATAGAGGAGTAGCGGTGAAATTGTTACTGCCGTAAAACAATGAAGCTCAAACCCAATCCTCATGCCTCAAAATTTCTGCTGCTTAATCACGACTCTCATCAAAACTGACATAAATTTAAAAGAATCGGGCATAACCACTAAAGCGGAAAAAATATTTGTTCGTCTCCCAGCAAATTCATGTAGGAGTAGGATTATATGATCCCAGCATGCACTCCCTATAATGCCTAGCCATTGTGAAAAGAAGAAAAGCCTCGCCTCGAAAATCTTGTCTGAAAAACAATTCGGGCATAAAAAATCTCCAATGATCTATTTCCATTGCTCATTGCGAGCTTTCGGGATGAAGGCTTTGAAAATGAATAGTATAAGATAATATATTATGGAAAGAAAGATAATATATTATGGAAAGAAAACACCACGCAACGTCTATAGGCGAAAATAAACAGTGATTTCGTTTATACTCATCACCGTCAACAGTTCATCCAATAACCACAGTTATCCGATAATGTTTCAATTTTTATTTTTTTCTACAAATTGAAATGCTTTGAAATTTGAAACGCGTGTTCATAAAAAATAAAAAAATATCATAAAAATATATAAAAAAATAATTCATAAAATATAAATTAACCAAAATATCTCTTAAAATTTATCAAGGTATTTTGATCAATATATAAATTGATCAAAATACATCTTAAAATTTATAAAAATATTTTACTCAATTTATATTTTACTCAATTTATATTTTTATATTTTTATTAAATATTTTTTTTATTAAATATTTTACGAAATATTTTTTTTTATATTTTTATTAAATACGCCTCACTAATATATACACACGCTCTACATTTCAGATCATTTTGATTTATAAAAAAAATAAAAATTGAAACACTATCGAATAATCATGACTGTACGATGAACTCTAAATAATGAAGAACATAAACGAAATCACTGTTCATTTTCGCCTATAAACATTGAAAAAACTTTTTTATTATGAATATATATATAAAAAAACCATTTACTTTTAATACAAAAAAAACAATGTCCGTCAGAATTCAAATCAAATGGTTGAAAGTATGTTATTGTCTAAACTTAAAATTTTTTTTAAAAAAAATCTCAAACTTTACGACACACATCAAGCCATCCGATTTTTTTACCGCTTGTGACACTTGTACCACTGTCGGGAACAATTACTAAATAAGCTCCCGTTTCATCAAGCCATCCGATTTGATATCGCTTGTAACACTTGTACCACCATTGGGAAGGGTCAATTACTAAATAAGCTCCCGCTTACTAAAAATTACGACCACCACCCCTCACCTTTGAGCCCGGTCCAACAATGGACACATCAGACACAGGATGAGGACATATTTTAATTTTCTCTACCGTCTAAACTATTTATTCTCTCCCTTCTCAACGAGTATTCCTTCCTCCTCTCTCTCTCTCTCTATTCCTTCTCTCTATTATCTGTTTCAGTTTCTTCCCGCTTTTTCTCCTCCCTTCTCCATTCTAAAAACCATTCTTCCACTCCATCGCCAACACCAAAACCCCCCAAAAGGAAGACAGGATTTAAGAAAGTCGCAATATGGGGTCTGATAAGAAAGGCCCAAATGTTGCCTCTGAAACTCAGTCCTGCAATTTGCAGCAAGTATGGAAAAGTATGCTCTTTGCACCATCTATTCGAGCCTCACCTCACCTCAGGATACACCTAATCAAAGTCCTCAGCTTATACGAAAATAAGGAACTCTCTCTCGTCTTCTTGTGCTCATACCCATATGTTTGATTAAGCGAATAAGGTGGTTTAGAGAATCACTTAAGTCGGGGTAAATTACATAAAAACTTACATTGGGGTAAGTTGCATAAAGAAATATCGCCTTGAGGGTTATTTGTAATGTACGAAGTTTTAGGCTGAGGGTTTATTATTTTGCCGTAAAACCTTGGTCGTATTATAGTCCCGAGGGCCACTATCACAAAAAGATACGGGTTTAAATTCTACAAGGTCCAACATTTGGCAGAATCAAACATAAACTATTGACATAAACACTTGAGTTCCATATGACCTTTTTACCATGAATCTTTCATCCCAGGTAAACCCGCAATCCAACCCCAAAGGGCTGAATAAAATAACCCATCAGCAGAACATCCGGGGGCCTTGGCGGAACATCTGGCGGCGGCCACACATCCGGTGGTCCCTTCCGCGGCGGAGGCCGAAGATTGTCAGGCGGTCCCTGTGGCGGAACATCAGGGACTGGCGGGGAAGGAATTGGTGGCTGCGGGAGGTCTGGGAGGTCTGGTCCAGGAGGAATCGGCACCCCTCCAGGAGACCAATCCGGCATGTAATTTCCAAACTCAAAAGGCAGCAGCAAAGGCAAAAAATGCTCAGCGGCGGTGCCAGGGTCGACCAATGGGGGGATCTCCTGTGGCGAAGGCACGTTTGGAAGCTCAGTTGGAACTGCCGGCATGAGGTTCGGGGCAGGAGGGGGGATTTCTTGTGGGGTAAGTGAAGGTGGTTGTTCAGGTAGTGGTGGACCGGTTGGAGCCTCTGGGTTGGGTGGGTTTGGTGGTGGTGCGTCTGGTTTTAGGGGGTGGGACGGTGGTGGCTCAGGGCGGAAACTGGCGGCGTCAACGGGGTACATTCGGCGGCGATGGCTGGAAATAAACGTGCAAGGGCTCTGGTTTGTGCCTTTGGGATCGTGGTAGACCGGAGCAGAGTGATATATTTCATTACCAAGATGGTCCTGTAGGTTAACGACGCCAGTCGGGTTTCCTCTCTCCTTTCTTCTCTCTCTTCCGTTGCTTCACTCTCTTGGTGTTTCTCTCTCCTCTCTCTCTCTCTCTCTCTCTTCTCTGATGTAGAACAGAAAACGGGAGTATGATTTTTCGTTGCCGTGACCACGTATCGTACGCGTGGCAAACACAGGTCAGGAGTGCGGATGCGGCTGCCACTTGGTGCACACCGCAAACTATATGACAATTTTTTGCGGATATAAACTTGGACGCGGTTTCTATGCGGCCAGCCCGCATAATGTAGAAATGCGGGCTTGGTAATAAATACATATTAAAATATAATTTTATCTTAATTTTTAGAGTTAAAGATCATAAAAAAAGAAAAAATTGAAAAACCTTAATAATAATTATATTAAGAAAATATATGAACCGTTAATTACCGTTGTTTTTAAATGGCCCATCTATTTTCATTCATCTTTAAAATATATACTTTTGGACCCGTCTATTTTCATCCATCTTTAAAATAGATACTTTATACTTTTGGACCGCATAATGTAGAAATGCGATCCAACCCCGCATAAAACAATTTTCGTATAAAACTTTGGGAAAGTTGAAAGATGAACATAATTGTGCACTTAATTTTCCTTTTCTCCACGGAAAAATCCGGAAATTCACTGGCTAAAAGTGTGGAGAGAGGAATGGTCAGTTCATTGTTGGTTGGGATAAAATGATGTTACACTAGTTCGAGCTAGCCGTTCTAGTGATATTTTATAAATCGCCGATCTGGAGAACGAATCAACGATCTAAATGGGAGTATCGGTGAAACTGACTTGATTTCAAGTAGAAATTGGAAATATGTTTCATTTCGATGGGCTTGCATGCTGTCAAACAATTTGGCAACTTTTATAGGAATTGATTGATTTGGATAGTTGGAGTCACTGGCTCCATCCATTTTAATTAGTGTAATGATTATGTGAGACCTTTTCAAGTCCATATGTATGATTATGGAGGATCATTTAATGTAGCATAGATTTCTAAAAAAGTTACCATACGTGGAACTTGATGTTTTTAAAAAATTTATGTCAAATTTAATGGTAATATTTGGATACTATACACATGGGTGTAAGAGGGTCAGCAGTGTCATTTCCCTTTTTTTATAGTCTCATCAAAATAAAAGAAAAAAAAAAGTCTTGTAATAATATTTTCCTTTTTTGCTATAGACAAATATACTCTCCCTACGTTGAATACCCCTTTCAATGCACTTTACGTAGAAAATACCCATCTCTATCTACACACACTTTGTGTACTTGAAAGGGAAAATATCTCCTTATTTTATATTTTTAACTTCCATTTCTCATGAGATTCAAGAATTAAAAACATTACTTATAAGCAAACTCCATTTTTTATATCTTACAACCTCCTGGACCCTTTTGACCACAAATTTTGTACCTAAACAAATACTAAAATGACACCTTATTTAAACTCCATCTCTCTCTTTAAAACTTCATGTCTCTCTCTTCACTTCTCGGTGAGTTTGCCAACCAAAGGGTTTAGCTTGAGCTCGAATACGAGCACATCTTCTTATGTGTGTGAGAGAGATGGAGTTTTAGAGAGAGAGATGGAGTTAGAGAGGAGGAGTTTTAGAGAGATAAAAAGATAGAGTTTGAGTTTTAGGGAGATAGATGGAGTTTGGAGAGAGAGATGGAGTTTTGAGAGAGAATGATATGAGAGAGAGATAGATATAGTTATTTCATAAGTTGTTGAAGTCAATAATACATGGTCAAAAGGGTTTAGGGGGTTGGAAGATAGAAAAGATGAAGTCTTTTTTCTTACTAGTAATATTTTAAATTTTTGGGTCTGATGAGATATAGAAGTTAAAAATAAAGAATAATAGGATATTTTCCCTTGTTGGAAAGTGTTTTTACTCTGTCTCTCGCCCTTTCCCTTCAAAACGACTCTCTCTCTCTCTCAAGCCCGAGAGCCAAAGGGGAACAACCCTCGTAGGTCTCATTAGCCTCATAGATCTGCCATTTAGAAGTAGATTTGAACCCCAAGGCATCCTACCATCGATTCCAGCCCTTTACCTCATTCAAGAATCGAGATTTAGGGTTTATGTAAAAATATTTTCTACCACTTGGGTTTTCTATCTACTCATTCCATGGATCTCTCGCTCTCTCTCTGCATCTTATGATCAAAATTCTCTATTATATGTCTGGTTTGGATGAAAATTAAGATTTATTTCATGAATGAATTTGGAGATTTTACTTTCTTAATATTATTTTGTCTATTTTTTAGGGTCCTACATACATAGTTGTGGGAGAGTCTCATAGAATCATTATTCTTTTAATTATTATTAATTTTAATTTTTAAATTTTTAAATATTATGTAAAAGGTGTGGTTTGAATGAGTTTGAAATTTTAATTATTTTCACCTCTAATTAAAATTTTAAACTAAAAAAGTAGTTCAAATGAAGAAAATATATAAATATTTTAAAGTCTTTAAAATAGATAGTTAACAAGAAATATGTTGCAAGATGAAGTAATTTTGGTACTTAAAATCTTTCTTTTCTCTATATATCCATACTTCTTGAGGTCGAGATGATCAATTAGGTGTTTTTCCAATACCAAAACGATTTTTTTTTAAGGATTTTTGAGATGCTTCTGAATTTTAATTTTAAAATATCAATCTTATATAATTTTGTTTTATATTTACATTTTTTTGTGGCTATTTTTTATGTCTAGATAAGCGATCGAAATCGGTCCAACTAGGGGCCAAGTTGGACCTACCCGGCCTTTTGATCTGGGTTTTGAAACTCTGGTTTTACATGCTATGAATTGGAATAAATTTAATACTGAAAAGTTTTTTTTGTTAGGCATTAACCACACAACATGTTGTAAAAGTAAGTCAGGTGCACTTCAAAAGCCTATCCGACTCGTGCTGGTGGATTCTCTAATCGACTGTTTGGTTCTCACAGGGAGATTGAATAAAAAAGTTTTCTAAGTCTTAAAATTAATGTACTATATAAGATATTATGATGGTTTATTTTTTAATAAGTTTTAAATATTTATAGATACGTTTGATTTGAAGCAATTTTTAAAACTTTAAATTTTATAATCAGATAGAAATAGATTTTTGTGCTATCGTAAAAGTTTATAGCACTGATGCTGCATTTTTTGATGGAGTTTGGAGGTTTACTACAGTGACCGTTCGAGGTTGACCGCTTTATGGGAACTAGACTAGATAGGAAGATGCTTCCATAGGGCTACGACCGTATCAAAAAAAGTGATGCCCCCCCTCAAAACTCACTTGTGTTGGTAAACCTTCACATCCATCGTTTTACCTGGACCATGGTAGTTGTGAGAAAAAAAAAAAAAATCAAACCCTAATAATAGGGTATAATGTAAAATATTACATAGACCAGCTATTTTGCTCTAAAAATAAGTTTCCATATATTCACAAGATTTCTATAATTTTCTAAGCATCAAAATTCATAATCAGTATTGAAAATGGATTTTTGAGCAATCATGAAGGTTTTCAATGCCGAAAGTGCTTTTTAACGCTTTTCTTTATTTTTATAAAGCTCGGGCGTTATAGAAGTCGCATATTTTAAGATATAATGTGGTATGAATGAGTTAGTGGTCTTATATCCTATATAATGCCCTAAAAAAATTTACAAATAATGGGATAAAATCTTAAAATCGCATTTAGTTAAGGAAGAAGTTTATATAGAGCCGACGCTCTAAACGATTAAAATAGAGCCTATCTCAAAATTTTTACTAGAAGATGTTGTTTTGATGCTCAAATATCCTCAAATTCATCATCTCGACATCAAGATGCATGGACATGGGGAAAGAAAATGGATTTTTGGAAATAGTGCATCTTGTAACACATTTTTTGACCGTCAATTTTCAAGACTTCCAAGTTTTTATAGATATGCTCGATCTACATTATTTTTTAAGCTTTAAATTTATAATTAAACATGAAAATATATTTTAAAGTTATCACAAATATTTATTGTATTAAAAACCACATTTCTTGATACTATTTGAAGGTGGGCTTTATTTTGATTGTTTAGAACCTCGGCTCTATACAAACCGCACCCTTAGTTAAATGCCTTTAGATTTGAAAATATCACTGACAATCTCGATGTGTGTGTATAGTTAGTTTAATCTCGATTAGTAGTTAGTTTGCATGGGATTGATAATGAAATCTTAAAGGAAAAAGTTTATATAAAGTTGCAACTTTAAAATGTAGAATTACAGATGCACCTCAAAAATCCATCAAAAAATGTTGTTTAAATGTTGAAAACATTATAATTGATCATCTCGACATCAAGATATATAAATTGTCTATTTTCAATATTTTTATATATTATCTAAATTGTATATTTTCAAGATTTTCATATATTATCTAAATTGTCTATTTTCAAGATTTTCATACATTCATCGATCTATTTGATTTTAACTATTTTTGGAGTTTAAAATTCTATAATTAGACATAAAAATAGATTTTCAGATAATCCTAAGAATTATTTACACCAAAATTACATGTTATGATAAATTTTGGAGGTACATCTTAATTGGATTGTTTAAAGGTACAACCTCATAGAAACCACACCCAATCTTAAAATTTGATTATTTAGATGTATTATATGATTGGAATTAAACTCGCACTTTCATTAGGCTTCAAGTATTTTATTTGCAACAACTTGTGGGTACGAGTTGGGTTGAACCGACCCGGACCCGAACGAACCCGAATAGTATTCGGGTCCAAGCTTTGGACCTAGATCCGACCCCTTGGGTACAAATGTTGGACCCATATCGGATATACCCGACGGGTCCCATCCATTGCCACCCTAACCACAACACCCTAAAAATTTGAACTTCTGGCACCGAAACTTACAATCCCAAACAAAACTGGCTCACACAAACCTGTTGGAAATTTGGTTTCCGAAATTTCATCCCTCGATTGGAAATGTCACCCCTCACTCCAATGAAAAGTCAGGGGCAACTTTGTCATTCTCTACTCTATTATGGGATGTTTTTTAGCTTTTCTTTATTCGCTCCACAAAGATTTCATTTCGTTGTGGCTGCGTACTTTACTACAATTTCTAGGGCATTTGGTGCTGTTTCTCTGACTATTTAAAGGTTCACTATGATGGCGGCTGCACGTTTAGCTTTTAGACGGCCTTCAGGCGACCGGAGACCGACCGGAAACCATCCAGATTCAATGAACCCACCTGCCGAAAACGTGTCGTGGCAGAATTCCGGCGACTTCCCCTGTGCTTCGGTATAAAAGACTGAGGGGTAACCTTTTTGTTTCTAGGGTTACCGCTTCTGTAAATGCTTTACAGTGACTGCAGATTCTCTATCCTGGTCGCTGATTTGGGGCTTCATTAGATTTTTTTTGCTGATACTAGGGCTTTATTAGTCTATTTAGCTCGAAAGTGAAGCTTTGTACTGGTAGTAGGGTTTTTGTGAGCTTTACAGTGGAGCTTTGTGGTGATACGAGAGTTTGTCCATTAGCATCACAGAGTGGAATTTTGGTCACTGAGGTGTGAATTTTAGGTTTTCAATTGAATGTAAGCTTGCGTCGAGTGATATTGGGTTTCTGAGGAGCTGATTGATAGATTCTCTGGTTGTCTGAAGCATCGGAGTGGAGATCGACTAAAATAAAAAGCTATCAATTTTCATGGGGGCCTCAGTTGGAGCAACGACAACTGCTGGCTTAATGGAGGCCAGGCTTCAACTTCCGGCCCTTAATGGTCTGAGACAGGCTGGTTCAGCTGCAATGATTGGGCGTCTCAGTGTCTTTCCTGCAAATCCTTCAAGTTTTTCGAATGTAATTCGAGCTGTTGCCACTGTAAGTTTTCTTGTCTTTTCCTTTTGGTTCCTCTATTTTGTATTTGAAATATTGGTTGCACGCTGGATATCATAATCTTTATTACTGATGCAATTATCTACATTTGTTGGGTTTTCTTTATTGTTTGGCGTAATGTATTTTGTTTGATTTTTGAGCTAGTTACCGCTTTAGTTTTTGTGCTTGTTTCGGGATATTTAGCATTAGAAGCAAAAGGAGTTATTTAGATTGATATTTGAGGTGTTGGGCCTTTCGTTTTATGTGGTATTTGTTGGATATACTTCCGTTTATCAATTGGGTTTTTGCTGTACATGCTGGAATGGTGAATGTGGTTCTAATTCGGTTCTGTAACATCGAAAGAGCCTAGTAGTTAACTTAACACTTCCAGTCTTAGGGATGTGTATTGGCAAGGAAGACTTGTACTAAGAAGGTTTCTGGACGAATATGAGAATTTGTTTCATATTCAGTCAATTTTTATTAGTGATGGCTTCTTGGGACTAAAGATTCCTTTGCTCTTTGATCAAGGTTGTCTTCAGATGTGAATGCAGAGGCATTTAAATGTTTTTTCAATCATCAAATTTGTCCCATCTTCTAATCTATATTATGTGTTAAAAGAAAGTATAGCATTTTTTTAATGTATATATGGCCAAACTATTGCCCTTGATTTGTAAATATATGCATGAAATCTGATGGCTTAAAGTGTTGTCACGGTGGCGTGTGGTTTATAGGCGTTAAGGTCTTGGGTTCGAATCATGCCTGACGACTTGAGCTGCACGCCCTACTCTCTATCTCTCTCTTAAAAAAAAAAATATATATGCATGAAATCTACTTCAAAGAACCGCAAGGAAATGTTCCATTACATAATTGGTGGATATTTCTTCCTTTATGTTAAGGAGCAGCCGCCCCTGAAGCAGATGATTTCATGTGATATAAGTTACTTCAATAGCTAGATTCGATGTTACAGATAATAAGCTTTCATGCAAGAGGATAAATGCTCACTAAAAAGGTATATTGATCCTATATATCCGCTAATGTCCAATAAACTGGAAAGAAGGGCTGAAAAAATAGGATGGAAAAATAGGGAGAAAAAAGGTAAATAGCAAGTGCATTATCTACCTGAGAAGAAACTTCATGAAAGACCAACATTCTCTTGACCTGTTACTTTATTCTCCTCTCATTGATTACCCTTTCCTTTTGTGATAGCCCATGGAACATATAGTTTCTCATTGGTGCTCCTTCACATGGGAAAAGGTATGGAAACATCTTTACATGGAAAAATGTTTGGAGGCATTCTTTTTTGATCTTCCTTCTCAATTGTCGTGCCTTGGGCTTCCCGGTGTTACATGATAACAGCGAATCTATGTAGGCAATCCAAATTGGATTTGATTTCGTCATGGCTCATATAGAAGCCAATTGGGATTTTTGCCTGTGGTTACTGGTTGATGAATGACCTTTAAGACTCAGTATAATTCCATTCTTACCCAGTCAACATTTAACAAAAAAATGTTTGTTGCATCATTAATGTGAGTATGACATCCATCAATATCTATGAATATTTTTGATGCTGAATTCACCACTCACCATGGGGCCATAGTTACATAACTATGAGTGTACAATGGACCATGGTCCAAGATTGGCGATCTAAAAAAAAGAAAAGAAAAGAAATAAAGCAAAAAAGATGCAGTGTAAGATGGGTTTGCTTCAAAGATAGCTTTTTGGAAAGCGAACCTTTGATATCAATTGTAGATTGGCTGTCATCTGCATGCAATGATTAAAGCATTCATGGGTTAACTTAGTGAGGTAATTACTTGATCAGTAGAGCATGCATTATCCTTGGTGATGGCACTTGTCGTCAAATGCGTTTGAGGGGATTCACTACATCAGCTTATGCACAAAAATTTTCCCTGGTGGCTGACTATAAATGATCATCCTCCGTCACTTGTGAACATATTGCCATTATAGGCAATGCATGAGCTGTAGCAATTCACTGTACTCCTCTTGAACTATTTAAGTGATGATATGTCAACTAGCATGGTAAACCTGATAGAGAACTCTAAAACTGACGTATAATGATAGTAATTTATGTAATGATTCCAATTTCCAACACCACATGAGTATCTTTACCAAAGAAAAAAAATTAATGTGCGTTCATTTCTTTATTTGTTTACCTTTGAAATCAAGGTTTTAGAAATGTAGGGCAGCGGTCAGGTGGTCAGGGGGGTTTTGGATGCGTAGGCACTAAGCTGGGGCCAGGTTTCAAGGCACCCAGTCTCTAGAACATACATATGTACATATGTGTGCTCTAAAATGGTCTCAGACACATGTTCATGAATCATTAATGTGTATATATGCATATATGTGCATACCAAATGCACATTGTTGCATATATATGTGTCTTTTATGTATATCTTTTATGTGTGTGTGTGTATTAATCAAAGCCTTTTCTCAATTAATTGGGATCGATTATGCGAATCTTGGTCTGCCATTTTGCTTTGTTAAGGGCTACACCCTCAGAGAGGTCATAACTCGTCTTATCTTTTCTCACTACTTTCAACCTTGTCCTTTTGGGCCTACCCCTTGTCATTTTGAGCTTTTTATTTGAATCAACTTGCACCTCCTAACAAGTGTTTCACTGGGTCTGCGCCACACATGGCCAACCCACTTAAGTCTACTCTCTCTCATCTTATCACCTATTAGCACCACACCTAAAAATTTTTGAATGTATTCATTTCGAATTCTATACCTTTTTGTCTTGCCACTCATCCATCTCAACATCCTCATCTCCACTACACTCATTCTATAGATATATTGTTTTTTGACTGCCTAACATTCCGCCCCTTAGAGCAAAGTTGCTTTCATATTTGTCCTCCTTTAGCTTCATTAGTATACGACGATCACATAAAATTCCGGTTACACATCTCCCCTTCACCTGCCCAGCTCTAAATCTATGTGCGACATCTTCCCCAATCTCTCTATTTTCCTGGATTATCAACCCAAAATATCGAAAGTGCGTTTTGTCTTAGTCCGGCTAATTTTAAAACCTCTAGATTACAGAGTATCCCTCAAAAGTTTTGATTTTGTGTTGACGCCGTTTCGGGTCTCATTGATCAAAATTATGTCATCTGCGAACAACATGTACCACAATACCTCATCTTGTAGGTGCCTAGTTAAGTTGTCCATAACTAAGACAAAGAGGTATATATATATATATATATATATATGGAAAAAATATTTCTTAAGCTACAAGCTATAATGAAATAGTATAAGCTACTTGCTCTCAGCTGTCAGATCTTCATCGGGTGGTTCAAACTTCATATCACTATCTAAATTTTAATCTTTTTTCTAGAAATCAGATCGTAATAAAATTTTGGACGTGTGTGCTAAAAAATAGGGCACACAATAAAAATATATATAAACAATATTCCTAAAATATAAAATGATCGAAATACCCCTGAAAAATGATGGGGGTAATTTGGTCATTTTAAATTATTGAAAGTAATTGTTTTATATTTTTATAGGGTGCGCAATAGGGTTAGGTATATACACCTAAAATTTCATCTTAATCCGATTTATAGAAAAAAGATTAAAATTAAAATAGTGATATGAATTTTGAACCACCTGATGAAGATCTAACGGCTGTGAGCTAGTAGCTTATACTATTCATTATAGCTAGCTTAAGAAATCTCTTTCCATATATATATATATAT